CATCGCACTATTTACCATCTTACCTTCCATTTTTCTTCATAATTTGGATTACCCAAAATTTTCGTGAACTGTGCCTTTAAGTCTGAGACCTTGTTACCGACGTTCACAGAAAAATAGACTTTCCGCATCTCTTTCTGAAAATTGTGCCATAAAATTGTGTGTTCATTTCTATTACCTATTACCTTGGCGTATATCTCGATGACGTATAGAAACCGAACTATGGCAAATCTTTTTATTTGCAGATGAGTGAGTCGCAAAGTATCGATGAAGTTTTCCTTTATCCGGCCTGTACGAACTGGCTTTGCGGTGAGACCTTATCATTTGCTCAGAGAAATTGCAAAGTCGCTTTGCAGGTTGGACCACCTGATTTGTTCAAATGTTGTTCTGAGAGACGCATGTGGTAGAAGTTCACGTTGTTAGGCTGTCTTTTCCTCTTAACTTCAAAGCTACACCCTCATTCTAAAGATATGCTATATACTATATGATTTTGCTGCAGTTCTAACGCATACATGTAGGTACGGTACTTGTTCGCAGGTCCTGTACTGCATCAGCATTTGTAGCCTTGAATGAATTGAATAAAAGCAAATTTGAGAATGCCCGCTGCCAACCGGATGAGGCCATTCCTCACACCTTCCCAACCCGATGATTTTTGTGAAAGATGATCACCCTGACAACACCATCTCTTATACTTTCGCGATCTGCTTCGAACTTGTCGTATCCTTTCCCAGCGAACACACTGAAGAGAGAGGCCTATGAAGGCAAGAGGCACCTTTCAGTAGTTTGAGGTGCGTACTGCACTTCCTGTTCGGAACATCCCTCACGATGTTCTGCACAGCGTTATCGAAAACTCCGAGAAACGTTCGCAGCCGTCTTTTTCATTTAAAAAAAAATCCCTTTGATCATCTCCTATATGTGCCATTTCATTAATCTAGTGAGTTATGAACTGCGTTGTTACTTGAAGGATACACTGTAGTCGCTTGGACGGAATTCAGAGGGCATCTTTGAAGGGACACTACCTTCGCTCGTTATTCCACCTGTATGCAGCGGCCAGTATCATAAAAAACTGAGTAAAATAATCAATAAATCTCTGAACAGCTGTGGGCATCTGAGAAAAACCATTTAGCGCGTTGCCTAGGAGAAAAAAGTAACAAAAAAAAAATAGAAAAGCCAGAGAGAATTGAATACGAAACGAAGAATGTATTGGGAAGTAGTATGGGAACAATTCCATATACTGCTTACTTCAAACGGATCGAATTTCTAAGCATTGAGACAAAGCCAGCATTTCAATGTTCTCAGTTTCAAATGACAGTAGATAATGACCAAGCAGATACAACTTATTTTGCTACACTACTGAAAGCCCTCTAATATCTTCATAACTATGTAGGTAAAATGCCGGATATTTAGAATCAGTGGCCGAGAAAAAAGAACTGAGACCCGTAGTTTCTCCTTGTCAGCTGACGTAGTAAGTCTGCTGACCCAAATGCAGGGGTATGGAGGGTATTCACAAGTGTTTTGTGAGAGAACAATTTATCAGTGAGACACTTCACAATAATTCTTGAAGTGATAACAAAAAAGATACCATTCGTCCCCGTCGGAGATTTGAAAATGTGGCCATCGCTCCAAAAAACTCTCTCTTGCCCCAACTGTTTGGTTCACTACTATGCTATCATGACCGATGGACGCTCAATTTCGTAATTCACCTGTAAGTTCAGTTTAGCTCAGGAGAAATTACAAATAACTCAAGTGATTTGAAGGCAGGTAGAGCCTGTTCAGCCTTGGAAGAGTCTAGATAGAATGCTCGCTAACAGTTGTAACAGGCATGTTGATCACTTAGGCATGCGCCCTTAGAGCAAGTATAAACGACCTGTTAACTTTCATTTACTATACAAGCGTCGACCAAGTGAGTAGTTATTCAACACTTACGGAGCCGTGACCACTGAACAGTGTCATTTTCAGCTGACTACTTTACACCTCTACAGATATTTCTGCTCTTCTTGCTTACTGGACGATTCATTCTGACAATAATAATCCTCTTGCTAGGGTTGAAGGTGAGGTGTACCCATGAAGACGAATGAATAGAGAAGAGTAAATGGTATGGGTCGAATCATATGACACAATTAAAATAATTACGCTGTATTAAGATGGAAAAAGATTTTATGAGATCTATAACAATGGCGATATTCATTCCAATCTCTTTGACGGAAATCTTCAACATTTACTCCGAAATAGTGGCCTATATCAGCTTATTTGCGGAAAGCGAAGAGCAGTACGATCACATATTTAAGTAAGCGGAATTTAAGAATGAAGATTAGAGAAACGGATGGAATAGAATCGAGCTTCCTAAGCATAATTTCAGTACCTTCTTGGGATGGACGCATAGCCTTCTCTATGTGATCTATGATTATGTTCACTACAACATTTTAATTATGCTTATATTACTGCTGTACTGCTGTCGACTCGCTTATCAAGCAGAAGAACGAATCAAAGCTTTTCCCTTGAAGTGAGTTCCTGCTTCGCCTTTCTTGTATCATACCCGTGTAAGGCCCTACACTTCTACTGTTACCCCGCAACCTTCGAGTATACGTCCCGTAGTGGTTCGAAGGCCATGGATTTCTTCATATTAATCACACAATCACCCTTACTTTAAATAAACGGCAGTTGTCGGAACCCAGTGAGGTTTTAGAATAACATCGAATGTTCTTAAATGCAATTGAATAGGTGGTATTAGTGGGTTAGGCAGTTCTGTTCTCGAACTGCATCAGCTAGGTGCAGGAATAGGAAACGAAAAGCAGATGGTTTCAGAAAGTATAATCAGATACGAATTGAAGCCATTGAATGTTCCAGTACGATCTGTGTTGTGGCTCAAATTATTCCGTTCTTTCTCTGCGTGGTATACTACATTTCCGATGGCACCACGGATGTCGCTCTGAGAGTTCTCTCCATCTCGTCACGAGTGGTGATGATCGTTGGATTCGTTATCATCAGTGCTCAGATATTAACAGTGAGTCAACCTGAACATTGTTTAATAAAATATTCTTGAAAACACGGCCGTGGACGGGAAAAATAGTGCCGTTCAGTTTTTGGAAAATAGCTTGGCTACATCTGGGGTCGCATCTCCGCATAAAGGTGCTCTATCCCTCGTTACAGCTCAAACACCTGTTTATTTGACTTGATTTTTTTTCACTGCATTTCACACCCACACGGTTATTCGTCACTTTCTAACTAGCGGGAAGGATAGCGGGGATGTTTTTCTGGTCTTTTACCAATCAGTCCGAAGTCATGAAACGCTACGCAAAACGTAAAATCTCTATATTATTATTTAGTTGAAGGAGCACAAACCAATAGCTTCCTTTTTCAGTCATTCTTCCTACTGAGCACTGAGCTGCCATACACTCATGCGAATTCAACGGACATGCAGTTACGAGATGCCCGAAGTCGATTGGCGTGGACGCTTGTCTACTTAATTCTACCTTATATTGCATTCATTCCATTTCTCGGTGAGTTCATTGCTGAACGGAATTCATCGTAATAAAACGGCAAATATCGTCACTATCACGAATGGTGTCATGGATTTGAGCGTAGTGCTTTTCCCCTGAGGCTCTTTGGTGAATATGCGCATATTTCTTGGAAGTTTAGGTGGGATGTTATTATCGTCGTCGTTGCCACATTTACGCTATGGATTAACCCATTACTCCCAGGCTAATGTTTTTCAGCCGACCAAGACCACCGATTTGGTACTAGACTCGTCTGAAAGGATGAAACCACTGAATAACAACTCAGCTAGCCAACTCACGGTGCAGGTCGAGTGAATAAAAAGCCTTTCAACGTTGATCAGCTCTTGGCTGAAATTCATCACGCACTCACTTTCCACTCAGAGCTTTGGTGTATATGTTCCATACAGTATTTGGCGATAGCCAGCCCATGTACAGATCCGTGCTTTTGCCTCCCCTACTGGAGTGTGGCACTGACCGTACCACTCCGAAAGACTCGGATGCTCGATTGCTTATGTATGTCGGAAGTCGACCCTCGGACAAAGCGTATCTTAGAGTGCACCACTTCCAACCGTACCATTTAAGGACATCCTGTAAATGATAGGCCATGTAGGCAGGCGAAGACCACAACAGGCGTAATCCTTAGTAGAATTGAGTGATGCAAAAAGTCACAGTCCTCGTCCTTGATATCAGAGCGAACTTAGTCGTAGCTGGAGCAAATTCCTATCTCATGATGCGACTGTACTCAATTCTAGGAATTCACTGAGTAGAAAAGCAATAAAAAGAGCGCATATACCATGTAAATGGGTGTCCTAGGTTTTTTGTATAGAAACTTGTAATTATTTGTTCAGTTAACGACTTCGCCTGGTTAATTGCCTTCAATGGGAACGCTGATCCAACAATGAAAGTTGTGATGTCTATTTGCGAAATGATCCAGTTCATTATTCAATTTCATCGGCCTTTATTCATGAGCATAATCACTGTCGCATTTCTACCTCCCTACAGGTGGGTCATGCTTCCATTGGTTACAGGTACACATACGAACACATCCTGCTGCTGTACTGACAGAATTACAATACGGTTTCTCAATTATTGCCACTAACCTTGAGCACTATTCTTTCAGACGTGCAATGCTACTGACAGTACTATGCTGTGGTTGCTGCCCGAAACTGCAAATCGACCCTCTGCCAAGAAAACCGAATGATATGAGTCTTATGTATCGATATGCTGATTTTTGAACCGTCGAAAAGACTATTATATTCACGCTAATTTCTATGTTGGAAGCGAATCTTTTTTTTTTGCTGTCAGTGTTCACAGAATGCATACTACCAGCTCCTCTTGCGAAGAAGATGAAATGAATGGATGCATCAAGAGTCCAACGTCCGACCGTCCGACAGACGGGCGTTGCTCGCCGCGTGTTGACAACGCAAGACATATTGCGTTCAGGGCCGCGTGTGCGGTATCCATCTGTCCACTATTGTCAACACGTGGCCAGCAACGCCGTCGGCCAGTCGGCCGGTGAAACAATGGCCGTTGTTGAACTATGTAAGCAACCATTTAGTACTGAGCATTGCATCAAGGCTATGGCGAAG